AAAGAATCGCTGAGCACTTACTGAGCTGTTTTGTCTACTGAAAACGCAGCTATTATTTAAAAAGATAATTCTAGGAACCATATACATATTATAATATAGATAGAACGCCAAGTAACTCCATATAAAAATGTCGCATTTAAAAAATCTAGTTTATTATTTTGCTATGCTTTTTTTTCAAAATGAGATCACATTTATTTAATTAGCAAATTTGAGACTGTAATTGTATACGTTTTACTAGATCTGTATAGAGAATTATCAATTATTTTTATTAAGGGGTCATCTCAGTTTGTCAACTTCAAAAAATCGGTTTTTTATTGCATTTGTTGAAAGTATATATTATTGAAAATATAATCCCAAAATTACATGAACAAACTCGAAATATTTATGCACTTAGCGCATTAAAGATAAATAAAGTTTGTTTATAATATGTACCTACTACAAACTACAAACGCGTTTTTCTCAAAATGACTTTTTTCAATGCGGCGTAGGAGATTTCTTGAAAACTATTCATCCGATCGCTTTGAAATTTTAACAGTTTATTTTACATATCTGTAGTTATGTTCTGAACTAGAATTAAGTCAAAATATTAATTTGTTCGAAGTTTATAAGACATAAACGACTGAAAAAAATTCATTTTTTTCACTCTTTTTTTTCAAATGGCTGCCATTTTGTTATTTTTTGATGAAATTAATTTTTTCTAGTTCCGGCTATAGCCATTGACTAACAATTTAAGAATCTTTTCGAATTTTTTGTTTCAAATGTTCCAAAGTGGAGATATTTACTACGCCAACGAGCCATCTACTTTTTGAGGCATCCACTTTGATTATAAACAAGACGGTTAAAAAATGTATTTTTTGTTATAAAAAAAATTTTTTTTTAAGTTTAAAGATTAAAAAAAAGCACCATAAAAAGTTTATGTTAAAAGCTTTTGTAGTTTTTGAGAAAAAAATTCCCAAAAATCACACACCTTTTTTTACGTTGCAAACTGAGATGACCCCTTAAAATAAATTTCTTTTTTTCTCTCTCTGAATAATGTTCTGATTTTCTAATATAATAGTGATATAAAAATTTTATTAAATTTAGTTCGCATTCCTATGTTGTGCGCATTAATTCATGTCTAGCAAGTCTTTTATCTTTTAGTAATACTTCATGAGTTTGTTAGAATCAAAATACTTCACACCGCATGTTATCTCATACATGTAGAATGACATCAAAGCACAATGACGTAAGTGCTCGGTGACAGAAGATGCATTTCGTCGTAAAAGGCCACAGCTCAAGAGATTCTGTCATCGTTACGTTTTCTCTTTTTCACTAATGAATTCTTTACTCGAACGAGTAATTGGTATCTCGCATTATCCTCAATCAACGCGACTGTCCTCGCGCGGATCTCACAGACGAGACAAGGGAGACTGTGGTACCGGTGAAAGCAGAGCTGAAACCGCAGCGAGGTCGGATGGAAGATGCTGGGAAACGGTAGCGAAAAGTGCATCAGTATGGAGGCTTTGCTGATTTACGAGGAGTCGTTGCTAGGAGAGCATTAATATCCGTGACGGAATATTAAACCGCGAGCGTCAATGGGTAGATCTTCAAAGGGATTTTCAGGGTGTCAGAGACGAGGAAGGGAATGAGAAAGAAAGAGAGAGAGAGAGAGAGAGAGAGAGAGAGAGAGAGAGAGAGAGCTGCGTCCCCGCAAGATTATGAGATTCTCGTTAAGTGTCATGTGTAAAGAGTTCTTTCATACGCGGCTGAGCCAACCCCTGGATGGCGTTGCTCGTGAAATACCGTCAGATAAAGGTGACATGAAAATTTATCGAACGTGCGGGGTTTTCAGAGATTCGCTTTAAACTCCTCCCCCAATCCTCCGCTCTGATGTCCTGTGTACGATGAAATGTAAGCTGGCTTACTCTGCCAGCGGTTTTACCACGGTAAGCGAAAGAAGAGAAAATTGCGCGAATGGATGCGACTCGGAACTAAGTTTAAAAAAGCGCTCGTTTCATGTGGAATTACTGTGAAATTTTTATCATATTTCTTTAATAGAATTTTCGTAGACTTTTGCGCAATGACACATTTATGCAAAAGCGACCAAATCTCATTTGATCGCGTATCTCAGTTTTGCCTCTCGTGATCTTCGTCGCATCTTATTTAACTGTCTCGGTCGAATATCGCTTCCTTTTGATGATTTCTATATCGAATAAAAAATTGAATCCAATTGAATGTGATACTGTGGTGGAAATTTTCTCTTCACGCGAAACAAGAATCAGTGACTTTATCCGAAACACGAGTGGAGCTCGGAAAAAGACGGTTAAGATAATGAGATAAGAGAAGCGGACTCCGGGATCGATTCCGGTAACAACGAGGGAGCATTTTTATAACGAGGATCGACGTCGACCGCTTTCTCCTGGGGGAAAGAAGCGAGACGTTCCTTGCTCGCGTTCCCCGTCGTGTACCCTGCCACGTTCCGTCCCCTCGGCGCCGGTCGCGGGCGGGAGCGGACTTAATTATCTAATTAATTAACCTCAATCAGAACGATGAGTAATTTCTCGCTCGGGTGGCGCCTTTGCCGCCGAGACTTTCTCGTCGCGTTGACTGCGGGGAGCGAATTACGGATGAGCTCACGGCAAATCGATTATGTCCCGATGCTGACGTTTCGAAACGGTGTGTCTCCGCCGTAGTAGTTCGCACACAAGAGAGGGTGAGCTCCTCTTGTCAGGATCCACGATCCTCCTGGCGATATCCTGCTCTAGGTGGCCGACCAATTTTCCTCCCCCGTGCCTCGTCCGCCTTTATCTTTGGCGCTTACGCCGATCGCACGATAACTCGCTCGTGAAGGGCGATCGTGGTCGTTCGTCCTTCGTGCGGAGTTCAGCGCGGTGAGGCTTGGGTTAATTCGGGGGATTTTGGGTAAAGAAGATAAATGAATGTCCTTGCAAATCGCGATTGACCTTTACTTTGATTATATTCCTATATAGTGTGTTTAAAAGAAGAAATAAATATCATATTCAGCTTAAAACGGTATTGAATGAATAATAGCGATATAGAAAATCAATGTGTATGAGTCGTCTCGATACATAATTATTTAACATTCCGAAATCAAATGTCGCAAGTTCTAATGTCGTGTTTATTTAATTACCATTTAAATTCCTGAACAAACTGATTCCCCCCTCGCAAAATAATAACGAACCTTTCGCGGTGGGCTCTCAATTTCCTATTCTGATATATCTCAAGTCGCTTTTCAATCCCGTCTTTTCTCTCCGACAAAAGCACCCCCGAAGCTACCATCCAGCTGCACCCTGCGCAGCACCGCCCCCAATGTGTAACTGACGTTTTTGACGCGTCAAGTGGTTCCATCGCGCTTCTATCTCGAGGGTCGGCGCGTTTATCGGCTACTGTTTTACATAAACATCCCCGGGGGGGGTGATGGATCGGTGAGAGTGAACCTGTGGACATCGCGCATTGCGACGGGGCGTAAACGCATCGCGGAGATTCCTCTAAGTGATCTCAAGTGTTTTCGTAGTTGATTCGGCTTCTCTCACGTACTGATATTCACCACCCCGCGCCTGCTCGAAGCTTTTTAAGCTCCGTTTAACCCTGGCCCCGGGGCCCATCTAACTTCGGTATTTAGTTAGTCAACTCTGCCCGCGAGGCGTCATGGGAAACGACAAGTGGCTCAGTCTCTCCCCAGCTAGAGCCTGCCGATGTTCGAGCGTACCACCGGCTGTGTACATATTCAGACGTACATCACGCTGACGCGCATGTGTGCGGTTTGTCGCTGCATGCCGAGCGGCCTATATGCCTTTCATGTGATAATCCTTGTGTATTTAATCGGAGGACGTCGATGGAGCCGACTCGGTGCTTGACGCAAAAAGCAAACGATCCCTCATGGATTAGTTCATAATTTGCTTTGAGCAGAGGGCAGAATAGAGGAGAGAGAGCACTCGAACGTGGCGAACGCGACTTTCAACGAGTGTTTATTTAACAGTTTAGATTTTTCTTCTTCTCGACTTTGATTCCTGCCGCTTTTCGATAGTTACAAGATAAGTCATTCGTGGTTTTGTTTCAAGTTTTCGTTAAATATACGTTTTAGGTGTCGGTATCAAACCAGTAACGAAAATGCATACATAGCGTAAACTTGGATTTAATACCTATGCTATTATCTCGCGGATCCTTGACGAGTTGAAGCTGCGGAATAGCATGTTTTAATGATGATGACGTAGCGATGTTGACGAAATTTCTGTTCGTAAAATTATAAAGTTCGTCGTTTACAGCAAAACTGCAGTTCGCAGCGAGCTGCTCGCATAATAATTAAAATCCTCGTAAATGAATATTGTGAGTTGCGTTGTACACAAAGACAGATTATAGATTGCAGTTGATATACGCATAGATTTCAAGTTGTTATACGTATTTAAGTATGATAAGCATTAGGGACAGTTCGAGAATGTAATACTTATAATAACAGCGGATTATGACAATGATAAGAATAATTATGACCCCTATACGTTCTCGGCGCTGTCGCGCTTCCTATCACTTATCGAAATTATGCTCTCTCTTATCGCGGGAATTATTCGTACCACTCGTGTTGCAACCTCTGCAATCGATAAACGCGGCAATATGAAGTCACCTGCTTCAACATGCGCTTTCGCGCCTTAATTATGTTTATATGAAGGAGATTACATTATCGCGATCCCGCGAGGTGTTATTATACGAGCCCACGCGGGGGAGATAATATCCCGATAAGGAAGCTTTTCAGAAGCTACAATACTAATGCATAAAATATCACAATTTGAAAGTCTTTAAATGCAAAGTGTTAAAAGATTTAAATCGAGAATGTTTTAGAATGGAAGTTTTATTAGTATAATTTTCTAATAAATTGAAAATTTAAGCAATTTTTATATTAAAAAGTGCTCATCGTGCCAGTATTTGTTAATAAAGTTTATGATGAAGAGCGTTTTGTTCCACGAAGTTTGATACAGCTTTCTGCGACATTCTATTATTAACGAATAACTCGAATGGCGGATATAAATGAGACACGTTCACACGATGCTGTCAAATCGTTCGGAAATTCTCGTTGCACGTCTTATCGCTCGATTTCCACGCTTGTTGGTGTGCTCGAGTTTCTCCGATTTTTGTAACTCTTTACTTTGCTAATGGATTGCGCTCTCGAGAATGTTCTCGCAAAGATCGTGCTATTTCTCCCAACTATCGAGATCACATCCAATTTTGAAGCTTATTGATATTTATGATCGTCAGGTAACCTTAAATCAGTGTTAAACGAAATAATTTTATCATAATAATTCCTTTTTTCTATCACTGTTCATATTTGCAGTCGTTTATACGAGTATACGTTTTGGATAATTTTTACGTGTGTATCTTGATGTATATTTTGTTCTACGTAGCACTATGGTATGCTAATAACGTAAGTAGTCTGCATAATAAATTATGATTACAAAAGTAAGAAATAAGATACATAATTAATATACATTTTTTCTCAAATGTCTTGTTTTCAAGATATTTTACTGGTTCCATACTTTTTACTCACCTTATATATATTAATTAATTATACTTATTCAAAATAAATTTAAAAATTAATGTGTGTAATTAACTCAAAGTTAATATACAAAGTGTTCCATTTTAATATCCCACTCCAAATAATTTTTTTATTTTTAATCTTAGAAAAAAATGTTTCAGACAAAAATTGTATGAAGGGGACATAAGATGGTGTCATTAGTTTAACCTTGAATAGAAAATAAAAAAGTTATTTGAGATGGGACATTAAAATGAGACACCCTGTATACATATATTTTGTGTAAAAGAAATAATGTTATCTGATTTTTTAAAATTTCAATTAATTTTGATAAATTTTTTTATACAATTGTTTTCAAGATAATAAAGCGAATTGAAAGATCAAATCGAGAGATGTCAACAACAGTTACAGAGAACAAGACGGTCAGTACCATTTTGTTTATAAAATTTGTATACTCAGTCAAGATCGATTTTACTTTTACATATAGTTATAATCAATGCTGTTATATTTATGCACCTTTTTATCAAAAATTCTTTTTAGAAATTAGACAGATTGGTTTTATTAAAAAACAAGAAGGCGGAATTCGAGGACGCAATCGTAAAAACGGTTAGCAGTATTTCAATGTTTTTTTGTTTTTTATTTTTATGGTAATATCTATATGTAATTAAAGGCATTTACTTTACAGACAGATGCGCAAAAAGTGACTACGAAACACTTAGAAGATGAAGTAAGTTTAAGAGTGAATTGTGGGTGCATAAAAGAAATTTTTAATGTTTTAATGTTCAACTGTAACTATCGAATTATTATTCAGATGGACAGGCTTAGCACAGAGTTAATTACAACAGCCAATAAAATTACTGGATTGGAAAAAATCGTTGAAAAAGTAATGGTCGTCTTTCGATGTCTATTTTGCCGTTAATCGTTTTTACCAGCTTCAGTAATTGTTATTAAATCGTAGATGGTTTTTAGTACAAATACCCGGACAAATTACTTAACTCAACCAATGCTATCGGGAGTGAATGTCCAAAAGAATTCGAAGGAGTCACGAGTCCGTTCGAAAAGTTCAAGGTAAATTAAATTACTAGTTGCCATGAACATATTTTCGGACATTAAAGACTAATAAAAAAAACAAACAATATTAAGTAAAAATATTAATAAAAGAAATTAATAATTGATTATGTTTTGTTAAAAAATATTATGAAATATATATATATATATTATTTTAAGATTCTCGAACCGTCATTTCCACCATCTGTACCACCGGAACCTCCGCCTCGGAAGTATGGGATCTTTGTCAGTAGACCGCCTGGGCGGAGAG